AATTTACTGCAAAATGACATGTTGCTTATTAGTTGGGACAAAAAGCGGTCGATTGAAATTTTAAAAAAAAAACTCTTCCTCGCTAGTCTGTTAGCCCATTTAATTTTGATGAACATGTTAAGGCTTAATACCTTAACATATTTCAAAATTAAAGACTAGTTTTTGGCGTTAACATAAGGGCTTCTCAGTCGCTATTGAAGGAGTTACAAAGTGTTTCGTCTCTTTAAAGGTGGTGAAATGTTTGATATTTTTCAAACGTCTAAAAACTAATACTTAGCAAAGTGTAGGTGTTAAATAACCAACTCGGAAAATTTTAGCTGTTTAATTTACATATCATATGGTCCCCCAACTCTTTCATTAACTTGTGTTGTATTTGCAATTTGTAATATCGACGACATAAACTATTCGTGGACAGTTTATCATTGGTTTTGCACCCCACCATTAAACGCAAGTAAGTTTAAGAACTACTTCTTTTGTTGTTGGTGTTGTTGTTGATGTTGAGATGAAATTCATTTGCTACTCAATTCTATTTTCTTTTATTCCCTGCAGCCTCCGAGCCAAGTATGAATTTTGATAATTCGAAACTGACCCATTTTCTCCCTTTTGTTTGTGTTTTTGAGTCTAAAGTTCCCATTGGCTGAGTTAGTAACCCAACACCAAGATCAGAAACAGCCATGCTCAGGTGCAATGTTTTTAAATTCTTTGACAAGGTCGGAGTTTTTCTTATGGCGTGGATTGTAACAATGTTTAGCATGGTGGTGGTGAAAGAATAAAAATGCATTTAAAAGGCAAACTAGGAGATACGAGGAATCCATTTGTTGTCCCTCTTGGATTTGTGCTGAAGTCGGTTAAATTCCTATCAGATGATGCCAGAGTTTGATATTTTATGAATTCAGTAGAATCAGTTTCGTGGACTTCTTCTACCAGAGCTTCGTAGCGGAATGACTTATTTTTAGAACCCCACGACTTTCCATAGGATAGCATTTGATAAGTACTTTGACTAAATTCCTTTTTAACTAGGCCACTCTGAAACATTTCATCTTAACGCAATGACGCGACGACTGATCATTAAGTATTGCTGGTCTAATTGTCGGAATAGATCTCTTGGTTATTTTCAAGACAAATTGTAGCTTCATACCAATTTAAAAACAGGATGTTTTGTATAAATTAACGTGAACTAAAACACAGGAAACTTGCCCCTCCATTTTTCCCACCTTTGACAGTTAAGTCATGTCTGAATTTTTTTTTCTTTATTGGGGCCACTATATGGCTATATTGCGTCCGAACAAACGAAATGCTAAAAAGGACAAAACTGTCCTTCACCCTTGTGTATGCTCCATATGCTGTATTTTAAAAGAAAGTCATATTCATTAAAATTTATTGCAAAATGACATGTTGTTTATTGGTTGGGACTAAAAGCGGTCGATTGAAATATAAGAAAAAAACTGTTCCTCGTTAGTCTTTTAGCCCAGTTAATTTTGATGAATGTGTTAAGGCTTATTGCCCTTATATTAAAGAATTCTAGTTTTTCGCTTTAACATAAGGGCTTTACAGTCCTAGTCTAGTCTTAGTATTTAATAATCTTGCACCTTAGCCATGAACCCCCAAATAATCCGGATATCCTTTCATTTTGAATTTGTAACGTCGAAGAGAGAAGCTGTTAGACAGTGTTGTTTTGCACTTCGTTTTTTAACAAAGCGGCCCCAAAAATTATGGGTCGGTTATTAAAACGAAGTTTAACGTAGGCCGCGGTTTAGCAAATCTTTGGACCTCCAGATATCTTCCCTAGTGGGTTGTTTCAAGAAACTGGTTACGATAAATAGTGTTGAGATAAAAGTGTTGGGGTAAGTGAAAATGAGTTACAACACAGTTTTGTTGAACACTGGCTAAACTCCGTTTACTTAACTGGCCCTATTTGTTTCTTTGGGTTGCGGTGTTCGCTTTAGTTTCCAGCCGCCCCCTCCCCTCAGAAAAGATCGCCCCTTGGCAGCCGAGTTAAAATCGCCTTTCGGCGATTCTTGTTTGCATGTTTGTTATTATGTTTTTCTCAATTTCAAAGCAATTAGAAAACAGGAGGTATTCGTTCAGAGTTTAACTTCAATTTAATCACCGGCAAACTCTTTGAACCTTTTTGCGGAGGGACCGCTTTATCGCATCCGCAAATAGTGATATAAATGAGAACTTTTTTAACTTTCGTATTTCTTTAATGTTACCCAGAAGTTTATAATAACGTTTTTTCTGTACTCTTGAGAGTAGTGAAATCTTTGATATTTTTTACAGAATTGCAATCTAACATGACAAAATTTTGGGAGCGAAAAGATTTTAAATATCCAACTCGTTAAATTTCAGCTGTTTTATTTACTTGTGAAATGGTTCCCTAACCCGTAGCTGTACTGGGTCGTTGGGCACTTTGAAGGTATCTAAGTGGTAAAACGATTGTCTCAATGCTCTTTGAAACATAGGTTTTTCTATACTTTGAGGTATTTAGAAAGCAGGAGGAATCGTTTCCATATTAAACTTCAACCATGTTTTGTCGGCGGGACTGCCTTTAATTATCTCACCCGACCGAGCAAATTGTCGACAGAGCATGCGCATTTCTGTCTTCTTGCAGATGTCCTTTTTGTTTTTCAAACAATTTTTAAAATTGTATATAGGTCTTCCTAAACTTCAAACAATTAGGAAAGAGGAAGTTTTGTTAACAAAAATAAACTTCATCGTAATAACAGGCAAACTTGCCCAACCATTTTCCCCTTCTCTCACAGTTTAGTCATAATTAAACAAAAGAAAATGTTTTTTGGAGTCGTTTTAATGTTTTTGTTTTTATCTATCGAACGCATCCTCAAGGTATTGTAAAACTACATTGACTCTCTTCTGCTCTTCCTTATTCTTGGCAAATTCTGGTTCAACCTGCGATCAGCCGCTCCTTCTTCCCTTTTTGTTTGGGAGGCGTCCGCCGACTTTCCCCGAAAAAAGATCGCCCGATAGGAGATTCAAATCAAGACCACTGTTTTTTTGGACACCTTTAAGCAGAAACAAAAAAATCGTAACTGATTCGATTTTGGGGAAATGAAAGGTTTCATGTACCTTAACCGCCACCATTTTGTTTGATTTGAAATTGGAAATGGCTCAAAATAAAAGTAGTGTTGCGCTCTTCGCTTTCACGCTATAGGAGTGGGACTGGGCCAAGTTGGTCAAAGGACGATTGGCTCCACGCGGGTTGGTTTCCATGACACGTAAACTCGTATGCAGTGTTTGCTCATAATCCAGGATAAACCGACCTTTAAATAAACCAACCCTTACGCTAGCGCTTAAACACCCGCGGTTTCTATTTTCATACGGGCACTGGACGATTTCTAAAGAGAAAATGGGAGGTCTGTGAATAGGCTAGTAGTTTCCAGTGATAAAAATCCATACTTGGCCGCGAGGCTGTGGGGTATAAAAGAAAAGAAATTGCATTAAGGTTCAGGGTTTAATAATTCATTTCTTTTGATTTATTCCCTGCAGCCTTCAAGCCAAGTATGAATGCTGATAATTCGAAACTGACCCATTTTCTCTCTTTTTTATGTGTGTTTGTGAGTCTAAAGTTGCCCGGCACGCATTTTTAGGAGCCACGACAAAATGAATTTTTGGTCGTGCTGGCGCTTAGTCAACAACAAAAACAACAAGAACAACAACAGCAACTTCATTCTCTTTACAAAAATACAAGAGTTGAATAGTTTGCCCCGCAAATAGCTGGAAAGTTAGTCGTGGCGGGGCAAGACCAGTACATCAATAACACAATTATCTAGTAAAAACAAAAACCTTTAACTTAGTCACTGAGTCGTATAGGCCATCCCAATTTAATGCTTCGTTTCCCATCGCCCGACCGACCCATTTTTTTTGGAAAAGTAAAAAAAAGAAAAAAAAAAAAAATTCCAGAATCACTTGTAAAGAAGCAAGTACTTTAATTTACAAGCCCACGATTTTATCTTATTAAGACCAATTGTCTTAAATTATCATTGATACTTCGTTTTTGTAGCCTTTTTAGACATTTGATAGTCCTCTTAATATACATCTTTTACCATCTTATTATATCTTGCAGACTAAACGTGAGATTTAATTTGCAATCATGTGTTCATTCTTTTTTGTTTTTTTTTGCCCGACCGACCGACCCACCTTCACGAGAGGGAGGGCGATGGGAAGCGAAACATTTTATTGGGATGGCCATAATCGTGATCGAGGGAAACAAAATGGCGACATCGTTACTATATTTAGTTTCATCACTGTTATAAAAGTTTTGACAACTTTCGTGTTTCTTTACAATACATAAATTATTACTCCGAGGCAAATTGTTTTTTAAATCATTGATTCTAACGAGAACTACAACAATCTCTATTGTTCATCTTTATTCTATTCTATCTTTTTTATTGTAAGGTTAACATAACACGATTTTGCTTTTGTTATTGTTTCTTGTTGTTGTTGTTGTCGTTCCTTCATATCGTTTATTATTTCCAGATGGATTGTTTTGAAGCTCTGTTTAGTTTTGCTTTGCAAATGCATTTCTTATTAAGCCAATGATCGTGTGTCGGATGTGTTTCATCTTCCAGCAGTAGATCACAGGATTAAGAGACGAATTAAGGAACTCCAGTGTCAGAGTGTAAAACGTTAAATGTTTTATGCCAGTGCTTGGTCTAGAAGTGAAGGCAACAGCAAAGAGTGTACAAATGTTTGGCAGATAGCAAACTGTTAAAACGAGGCAAACGTAAACTGACATCATCGCAAACTTTCGCATCCTTCGAACGTTAACCATTTGTAGCATGTTGTAGCTGCAGCACGTGTATTTGGTTCACGTGAAGTCGCACGGACGAGTAAATTCTGATACTGAAGAAAGTGGCAGCTATAATACATGCAAGTTGTGTAATGCCAAAAACCACGTACATAATATTCTTTGGGATCCACAGCCTGGTCAAGGAAAACAGTCCGCTTAATACCCAAGTTGAGACGACTACAGCAACAACTCGCTTGTGTGTCACAAGTTCTTGATATCTAAGGTAATAATGAATGGCTATAAATCTCTCTGCACAAAGAACAATGACGAGAAACAGCGTAGCGAAAATAAATAAATTTGTCGGGATAAGGCTCGCGATATAGATGGCATTTATATACGTTTTGCTAGTTTCAATGTTTAGCCGTGACTCCATAATAAGACTTGCCAAATACAAAGGTTGCGCCACTAAACCAACACCAAGATCAGAAACAGCCAGACCAATGAGCAATGTTTTTAAATTCTTTGACAAGGTCGGAGTTTTTCTTATGGCGCGGATTGTAACAATGTTTAGCATGGTGGCGGTGTAGGATAAAAATGCATTTAAAAGGCAAACTAGGAGATACGAGGAATCCATTTGTTGTCCTTTTTGGATTTGTGCTGAAGCCAGTTCAATTCCTATCAGGTGATGCAAGAGTTTGATCTTTTATGAATTCAGTAGAGTTAGTTTCGTGGACTTTTTCTACCAGAGCTTCGAAGCAGATGGACTTATTTTTAGAATTTCACGACTTTCAATAAGTTATCCTTTGATAAGTACTTTGACTAAATTCCTCTTTAACTGGGCAATGACGCAGCAACTAATCATTAAGTATTGCTGGTCTAAGTGTCAGAATAGATGTCTTGGTTATTTTCAAGACAAATTGTAAAATCGTTATGTGTTTTTGTTAGCGTCATACCAATTTAAAAACAGGAAGTTCTGTTTAAAGTAACTTCAACTGAAACACAGGAAACTTGCCCCACCATTTTTCCCAGCTTTAACAGTTAAGTCATATTTGAAGTTTTTTTTTCTTTATTGGGGCCGTTATATGGCTATATTGCATCGGAACGAGCGAAGTTCGAAAAAGGACAAAACTGTCCTTCACCCTTGTGTATGGTAAATATGCTATATTTTAAAAGAAAGTTATTAAGACTTACTGCAAAATGACATGTTGCTTATTAGTTGGGACAAAAAGCGGTCGATTGAAATATTTAAAAAAAACTCTTCCTCATTAGTCTGTTAGCCCATTTAATTTTGATGAACATGTTAATGCTTAAAAACCTTATATTTCAAAATTAAAGACTTGTAGTTTTTGGCGTTAACGTTAGGGCTCCCATTTAGAGTTTACAGTCCCTATTGAAGGAGTTACAAAGTGTTTCGTCTCTTTAAAGGTGGTGAAATGTTTGATATTTTTCACACGCCTAAAAACTAATACTTAGCAAAGTGTAGGTGTTAAATAACCAACTCGGAAAATTTTAGCTGTTTAATTTACATATCATATGGTCCCCCAACTCTTTTATTAACTTGTGTTGTATTTGCAATTTGTAATATCGACGACATAAACTATTAGTGGACAGTTTATGTTTGGTTTTGCACCCCACCATTAAACGCAAGTAGGCTTAAGAACTATTTCTTTTGTTGTTGGTGTTGTTGTTGTTGTTGTTGTTGAGATGAAATTCATTTGCTACCCAATTCTATTCTATTTTATTCCCTGCAGCCTCCGAGCCAAGTATGAATTTTGATAATTCGAAACTGACCCATTTTCTGCCTTTTGTTTGTGTTTTTGAGTCTAAAGTTCCCATTGGCTGAGTTAGTAACCCAACACCAAGATCAGAAACAGCCAGGCTCAGGAGCAATGTTTTTAAATTCTTTGACAAGGTCGGAGTTTTTCTTATCGAGTGGATTTTTACAATGTTTAGCATGGTGGCGGTGTAGGATAAAATTGCATTTAAAAGGCAAACTACGAGATACGAGGAATCCATTTGTTGTCTTTTTTGAATTTGTGTTGAAGCCAGTTAAATTCCTATCAGATGATGCCAGAGTTTGATATTTTATGAATTCAGTAGAATCAGTTTCGTGGACTTCTTCTACCAGAGCTTCGTAGCGGATTGACTTATTTTTAGAACTCCACGACTTTCAATAGGGTAGCATTTGATAACGGTACTTTGACTGGGCCACTATGAAACATTTTATCTTAACACAATGACGCAGCAACTAATCATGAAATATTGCTGGTCAAAGTGTCAGAATAGTTCTCTTGGTTATTTTCAAAATCGTCTTTTTTTTATTAGCGTTATACCAATTTAAAAACAGGAAGTTTTGTTTAAATTAACTTCAAGTAAAACACAGAAAACTTGCCCCACCGTTTTTCCACCGTTGACAGTTAAGTCGTATTGGAAGTTTTTTTTCGTTATTGGGGCCACTATATGGCCATATTGCGTGCGAGTGAACAAAAAGCGAAAAAGGACAAAACTGTCCTTCACTCTTGTGTATGCTCCATATGCTCTATGTTCATTAAAATTTACTGTAAAATGGCATGTTGCTTATTAGTTGGGACTAAAAGCGGTCGAATGAAATATTTAAGAACAAACATTCCTCGTTAGTATTCTAGCCGATTTAATTGACAGTAAAAATGAAATGATGTAAAATGAAAGACTTCTAGTTTATGGCGTTAACATGAGGGCTTCTCATTTAGAGTTTACAGTCCCTATTGAAGGAGTTACAAAGTGTTTTCTTCTCTTAAAGGTGGTGAATTTTTTGGTATTTTTCACAAAATGTAGTGTCTAAAAAAGAATATTTAGTTTGCAGAAAGAGGATAAGAGTTGGCTTTAAATAACCAACTTGGAAAATTTCAGCTGTTTAATTTACATGTCATGTGGTTCCCCAAATCTTTCATGGACTTGCGTTCCATTTGCAATTTTTAAGCTCGACGACAAAAACTATTAGTGGACAGTTTTTCAACCATTAAACGCAAGTGGGCTTAAAAACTATTTCTTTTCTTGTTGTTGTTGTTGAGGTGAAATTCATTTGCAACCCAATTCTATTATGAAACTGGCACCGACAATTCATGTTTAGTTGAGAGCGCGTTATATTCACGAACTCCCTCTCTGATTCAGGCTCTTGTTGGAAGCTATAATTTCAGACCTTTCTAGGTCAGAATGGAAGTGAAAATATAGTAACAATAATCAATAAAGGTTGTAAACCGCGAAAAGCGTTAAGGTTCCACGATCGATCGAAATTGTCATGAAAATGAATAGCGCGCAAGACAGCTGTTGAAGTTTAGCCTGCGAAAAAGCAAAGCGAGTCGCGAGAGAACGCGCCTGTCACCCCGCCCCTCGCACCCGCGTCTCCTTACGTGGCTGCTCTCGCGTGAATTCTCGCGTCTCGCCCAAAATAGAGAGCTTCCTCGCAGGCTAGATGAAGTTTGATATTCTCGTTTCTGGGCAAATTTTCAGCAAGTCTTTAGACGGAGGTAAAGGGTGGTTTCTTTTGTACGGCTGGGGCTTTTCTTTTCATTATTATCCTTGGTGAAATGTTGCTTAATAAAAAATAACGATAAAAAGCACTGCAAAACAATACGAGATACCAAGACGGATTTGACAATACATATGTTTTTTGAGACGAAAACAGTTAAACCATAAAATCCTAAGGGTTCTAAACGTGAACAGTTTAGAGAAAAGGTTTTTTTTAATCATACTTTCTCCCCCTCCTATCATTAAGAATAATCTCGTACACTTAAATTGTATAGTAATGACATAACTATATCATCTTAGTTAAGGTCTATTTCAGCAAAACCTTTGCTGCATGACGAATTAAACGTTGTTAGGTTTTAACACAGTGAAAAGGTTATTAAACTGGCTCACTCTTGCATCACTAAGACACTGTGAAGTGTGTCACGCGCAAGTGTATCGCGCTTTTAAAGGTTCATTTTACAAAAGTAATGAATTTTTTTAACTAAAACTTTGCATAAGGACGTTTAAAAACTGAATGAAGACAGCATGGATTGTGTCATGGAAATAACATATAGGGTAATTCGCAAAGCATTCAAGTGGTATAGCTTCATTTAATTACAGACCGTATAAGGACCGTATGAAGATGACCTTATAAGGCTTTCGTAGTCCTCTGTTCGTCTTAGTCTATGGTGGAGCTTTCTCTAGGTGGGACTTGAAAAAAGATTTCGAAGTGTGCCTACAATAGTGTGCTGGATTCGTTTCATCTTCCAACAGTAGATTAGTGGGTTAATGGTTGAATTCAGGAACAACAGGGTCACTGTATAAAACTACAAATGCTGTAGATCGTTTCTTTGTTCGGAAATGGAAGCGTTAATAATTAACATACAAATATCAGGCAAGTAGCAAGCTATGAAAACCAGATATACGTAAAGCGATGCCATCGCAGATTTCCTTTTTCTTTGAACACTTTCTCCTTGGTCATTCTGGGCTACTTGCGGGACTTGAATTTGTTTTATGTGGCGTCTTATAGTTAGGTAAAGTTTGGCGCTCAGAGAAGTTGCAGTTATAATACAGGCAGATTCAATAATGACGAAACTCACGTACATAATTTGACATGGACGGAATAATCTGATCATTGAAATAAGTGCGCTTATCACCCAAATTGAGATCACGGCAGCAGCAACACGCTTGTATGTCACAAGTTCCTGGTATCTGAGGTTAAGGTGAATTGCCAAAAATCTGTCTGCACAGAGAGCCGTGACGCTAAACAATGTCGCAAAGATGAAGAGATTCGTCGCAAAGATCAAGAGTTTCGTCGGGATAAGACGCGTTTCACTGTTTCGTTTTGAGTCCATAGCTTGTGCAACAACCATTGGCTGAACTAGTAAACCAACACCAAGATGAGAAACAGCTTGGCTCAGGAGCAATGTTTTTAAATTTTTAGGCAAAGACGTAGTCTTTCTGATCGCGTAGATTGCTACAATGTTCAGCATGGTGGCGGTCTAGGACAAGTACGCGTTGAATACGCAAAACGTGAGATGCAAGTAATCCCTTTGTTGACTTTTTTTAGATAGGTGCGGCGCTTGAAGCAAAAAAATTATTGTCCTTCCTTGAAGCGTTTTTTTTTTTTTCCAGGATGATCTGACCAAACCCACGTCACGGACTGACTAACGTTCAGAGAGTTACAAAACGTTTAGTAAGTTCAAGACTGATGAAAAGCAGTTTGACTTACTAAAATGGGATCACAGTTACTGCAAACATCTAAATATTCTTCAAGTTTTTCTTGAGCATTCTCAGTTAAGCATTATTATATTATAAGCACTCCTTTGGAACTATTGTCAACTTTTTGTATGAGTAAACCAAATCTATCCCTGCCGACTCTCACGCCTGCGGGTTGGAAACTTCGATCTCACGCCAGCTCACGCTTGCGGGCCAATTTCTCACGCCTGATTGAAAAATGTGAGTTGTTGCCGTCTTGCTTGACACAATTTCCAAAAATATGTTAACTCAGACTCATGTAAGGAAAGAAAACCATGTGTAAAATAAATAAATGACAATACCTTCCTCGCGATCTCTGATTTTTGAAGTGAAAAGCACTAGGAGCGAGCTCGCGTTTCTACACGTCCTAAGACTGGGACTGGGATAACTTCGATAACTTAGCCTTCGGCAGACTTCGGACGTCTTCGGAAGACTTCGGACTTCTTCGGGAATCTTCGGAAATGATCGTGTCGTCTTCAAAAATCCCAGCACTCCTTGGATAAAAATCTGACGCTTATATCTCAGAAAAAGTTGGCAGGTATACAAATCGAGTATCACTACACGACTAATTGAACCTTTGCGGGTCAATAACCTAAAAGAACTGTTTTTGTATTTCCGTAGTATACATACTGTACTTGATCTTTGCCGTTCACAAAACTCTGTGTAGGGCTTTCCTGTATGTACAAATTGATCAACGATGTTTGTTACTGTCTTTCTCGGTAAATTAAACTGATGCACTATTTGGAATGGTTTCGAACCCTCTAACCATTTGTCTACAGTCAATCATTTCACAGGCCTCACACTGTAACCCTTGCCCTATTTAGTAAAAGGATTCGGGTTCATTATGTTGCAGTTTCCTGTTTTTAAAAAAAAGATATGAAGTTATGAAGTTCAGTAGCACCAAAGTTGACAACTACGTCTCAAAGGTCGCAATTTGATTCCCTAACTCGCCATGGTATTGGCTACTCTGCTACGTAATATCCAATTTTCCAACGAACTTTGCAACGTGATGCAGTACGGTCCAGTGAAATCAACTGTAATTACACTTACACATGTCCATATCGCATTTGCCATGAAACTTGAGAAATTACTTATCAATCACAGCTTTGTGTCAACAAACATATGTTTCCCAAGCATTATATCAAACATTGAAGACCACAAAAATGAAATCTGGAAAACTGTCAGGCTAACAAGTTTCAAAAGGACCAATTGCCATCCTTTTCAATTTTATTTAAGTCTGTCCATCTGTTCCTCATTTTTACACTAACAAAAATCTTTATTTGTACTCACTCTTGCTCTTTGCTTTGTGACTTAAAACTTCTTTTCATGTTTTGAGCAGTATTTTTATGTTTCACTGAGATTGGTGGCGGTTTCCACTGCTGTAGTTTTGACAAATTTCGTGACACTGCTCCTTTAAGTTGCTAAGTACTAGTAGTTATTGATCAGTGGTTAAAGAAACTTAGATTTGGTATCAGGGCAGCTTACCTCCTCGTGCTATCTGTATTCTCCATCACAATATTCAGTCTTGGATATCCTTAGCACAATCAAAAACTCCAACTTTAAAATTACTCTTGGCCATCACGAGGTTTTTGTCTCACATCCTGCTCAACTGTGTCAGAAAAGGGTCGCTTTACGAGGGAAGCGATCGAGTGCTGAAGGCCGATGGGTCGACAAATATATATAACAACCCTTAGATGTCTTGTTGTGCAATCGGAAAGCAAAAATATACAGACTCCACGCTCCTTGAACCTACAGAAGCTGGCAAATTTGAAACCGTTGCAATCACTTTCAAAATGGACGCCAAAAAGAACGACGGCAATGAGCATGAGCAAAAGAAACGTCCGCTGACCAGCACTCCGCTCTATTCTAGGCCCCATTCTCCCCATTCTGTCTTGTTTTCTCAGCCTAAGATGTCTAAGATCATTTTATTTTTATGCCAGTACTACTGATTGAGATCAATCTGGCAACTATCGACAGCTGTTGGTATTCTCTGCCATTTTAATCACTTAGAATCGAAAACAGTGGCAACCTCGCGCACTTCACATTCGTTGCATCATGGATAATAGTGCAACGCGCGCGAGTATTTAATGCATGAGCCTGACCGTTTAATGGCCCGATCTCGAGAGTAAATTTACCTTTATTCACCTTGATTGTACGCAAAGCCAAAATTTCTGAAACATTTATCATGCGCTCTTGGACATGGGTCACCGGAAACGTAATGGAAACAAGAAAGAACGGAAATGTGATAACAGAAATGTGGCAGAAACAAGATCGTTCGTTTCCGACTCGGAAACATAACGGAAACGCGTCTCGTCCATGGAAAACTAGATCACCATGTTTCCGCAGGGCGGAAACGGGACGGATTTAAGCAACTTCACGTTTCAGTCGAGTTTACAAAGTACGGAAACGCGTTATTTCGTCCTGTGTCTTTAAGTGAGCTGCGATGAAACTCTTTTCTGAACATACGATTACTGATGATAGGGCATTGCTAGTGTGGCAAAACAGATGTCCTATGTGTTTTTAGGACGCTTTAGATAATTGTCAGACGTATTTTTCTAAACTGCCAAGCAATTAGAAATCGGGAGTTTTTTTTTCAAAATAAAACTTAAACTAAATTACTGGCAAAAAGAAATTGTTCACAGCAATCAGTATTTTCGGTGGGGTCGCCTTATCGCATCCCGTGAAGCGAAATCCCTCAGTGTTCAGAAAACTCCTGCAAGCCTTTCCTCATGCTCGTTTTTTTTTTTTTTTGAAACCAAATAGTTTAAAAAGGAAATGTAACAAAACTGCCCAAAGATATTGGTGCAAAAAGTAGAGATGCTGATCTCTGACTCGGTCATAAAAATACGAGCAAGTAATGGGTTGCGACATCCCTCTTTTGATAATTATTTTTGTGCTCGATTTGGAAAATTTAGTCTGTTCTCTTGACTACGTCACTAATGTGTATTTTAAGTTAAAATTCACCAGAATATCTGGTAAGATGGCATACCTCAAGTGTAAGTTCAAGTTTATTAAAGACACTTTTGATACAAGCCATAATTAATCCTTGCCCGCAAAGTAGCCTATAGTTAATTGAGGCGGGAAGGAAAAGTAAAAAAATTACAATAATAGGGTTGAAGCATAACTATTAATAAAGTTAACCAGATACACGAACATCAACATATTGAATCAACTAGACAGTGAATACATATGCTTCAAAATAAGTAAATGAAATAAGGTATGAGAGAAGTTAAACTGAAAAATTAAACTTTCAGCATCATTAAGACTTTTCTTAGCTATGTTTTGAGAACATTTAAATAGATAAAAAAAAATAATTATTTACTAAATATGTCAATTAAAGTACGCACGCCAACATAAGTACCCTGCAGTATCAAAATATACAGCAGCCGACTCTGTAGGGTATTCTTAAATTTATATTTAGTTAGGGCACGATTACTGTCGGGAATACAATTCCATATTTTTGCACCAATTCTTGAAAAGGAGTTCTTCATATGGTCAGTTCTCGAGTGCTTAGTATAGAAATTGCCAGCAGCAGAAAATCGTGTATTATGATGATGTACTTTTGAAGAAGAGGTAAATAACTTGAAAAAGTTTGGAGGTGTTACATTATTGGATACATCGTGCATAATAACGCAGAGTGTTTTAAAATAAAGAAAATTAAGAGGAAGAACATTAGACAATTTGAGCAGAGGTACAGCGTGGAACCTAAAGGGTTTGAAATGAATCAATCCAAGGGCACGTTTTTGAGGAATCAAAATTTTCTCCAAATTTATGGGAGCAGGCGTGAGCTTGGCCCCAGACGGCTATACCATAGGACAAGTAAGGGTTGTACAAGAGAACGATATATGTTTAATAAAGTGGAAGAAGGGACAAAATGGCTTAGTCTTGCAAGGGTACCTAATGATTTGCTGATTTTGGTAGAAATATATGTGATATGATGCGTCCAAGATAATTTTGAATCAATAAGGACACCAAGGTGTTTTTGCACATTCTTTCCTTTCTAAGGAAACAAGAGAGTTTGCGCTGTAATCATAGATATATGTAAAAGCAGTTGTATCAATAATTTTTGTTAGGGTGTTTAGCATTTAATAGCCGCGAGCCCACAAATTAACCGGGTGAATATCCTTTCACTTGCCATTTGTAAGGTCGAAGAGAAAAGCTGTTAGACAACTACAGCAACAACGCGTTTGTGCGTCACAAGTTCTTGGTATCTGAGGCAAAAATAAATACACGCGAATCTCTCTGCACACAAAACGATGCTGAGGAACAATGCAGATTAAGCAGATAAACTCGTCGGAGTAAGAAACGCGATACGGATGGCATTAAGAGACTTGGTCGTTCCATTATTTTGTTTCGATTCCACAATAAGATATGTAACAAACATTGCCTGGCTCAACAAACCAACACTACGATAAGAAGCAGTGTTTTAAAGTTTTTCACAACTATGAGGATTGTAGCGATGTTTAGCATGATGGTGATGTAAGATAAATACGCGTTTAAAAGGCATAATACTAAGGACGAGGAATCCATTTGTTGCTCCCTTTGGTTTTATGCTGAAGCCAGCCAAAGTCTTATCTTCCAGAAATTCACTAATTAGAATGCCTTTCTGCATTTTCCTCTCGTAAAAGCTACGATGGTGACTGAGTAATGTGTAGATAGTTCCAAGACGTCCAGTAATCTAGCCTTTGACCAGTAGTTTGACTTAAAATTCTCTTAAACTAAGCCAGGGTAAAACGTTTCCTTTTATCTAAGTGGCTGAGCAGATGTCTTGCTTGTTTCTATGACAATTGTGAAAATAAGAAAACGGGAGGTTTTGTTTAAATTCCCCTCAACTTACTTACTTGTAAATTTGTTCGATCATTTTACCTATGACAGTTAAGTCATTTTTGAAGATGTCATGAAAATATTCTGCCAACGCAATATTTTGTGCAACATTTAAAGATTTAAAGAGGCGCTATTAAAGCATTACGTTTCGGCGACGCCTTGTTACCATTAGGGAACGTAAGCAGCCACGACGGCGACAACGACAAACTGAGATAGGTTTCGGAACTGTTTTTTCATTATTATTATTATTATTATTATTATTATTATTATTATTATTACTATTATTATTATTATTATTATTATTATTATTATTATTATTATTATTATTATTATTATTATTATTATTATTATTATTAGCCGTAGCAATGCTGTCGTTTGAATTTCCCAGAAATTGATGTTTCATCAAATTTCGCTGACGAGCTTCTCTGAGCCTGTCTTAATCACTTCTAACGCGCCTACGACCACGGGGATTATTTCTGTCTTCATCTGCCACATTCTGGTGATTTCTATGGTTCCTGTGAAGTATACTTTTCGTGAATAATTTTTTAACAACGTTCTAGTTACTTTTTAATGACGATAAACTGAGGGCTTTGGATTCATTCATAAAAACTCGCTGCCCCAAAATGAACAGAATTACATTGTAGAAGAATTCAAGCTGTTCGCTTTTATGTTACGTTTTCTTTAATCCGATGTCAAAGTTGTTTTGTTTGCAGTCCAGCTGAGCTCAGCTGCAATGTTCTGAAACTTTCCTCAGTTGTGCTTTGAAACTGCATTTCGTAATAAGCCAATGATAGTGTGTCGGATGTGTTTTACCTTCCAACAGTAGATCAGTGGGTTAAGCGATGAATTCACAAACACTAGCGTCAGGCCAAAATTTAACAGTAAATGCGTTTTAACATTGTTTGATCTAGAGGTAACTACATAAACTAACACGACAGTCATTGGCAAATAACAAACCATCAATAGGAGACAGACGTGAGCTGCCATGATCGCAAACTTCCTCAGCCTTTTCGTGTTAATAATTTGTCCGGTCTGTGATGCTTGTTGTAGTTGTAGCACTTGTCGTTCGTTTAAGTGACGTCGCACGGACAAATAGATTCTGACACTGAAGAAAGTCGCAGCTATAATACAGGCAGATTCACTAATGCCAAAAACCGCGTACATTATATTCCATGGAACCAACAGCCTCACCAATGGAAAAACTGCACTGACTGCCCAAACTAAGACAACTACAGCAACAACACGCTTGTGTGTTACAAGGGTTTGGTATCGGAAATAAAAATGAATTGCCATGAATCTGTCTGCACAGAGAACAGTGACGATAAAGAAAGTAGCGAAACAAAATAAATGCGTTGGGATAAGACAAGTTGTGTAGATAGCATTTTGAGGCTCCGTACTAATTTCGTTGTTGTCCTTCGAGTCGATGATAAGTTTTGCAACGTACAACGGTTGAACTACTATTCCAACGCCAAGATCAGAAACAGCCAGACTAAGGAGCAATGTTTTTAAGTTCTTTGACAATGAAGGAGTTTTTCTTATGGCGTGGATTGTAACAACATTTAGCATGGTGGCGGTGTAAGATGAAAATACGTTTAAAAGGCAAAGTATGAGGTGCAAGGAATCCATTTGTTGTTCCTTTTGGTTTTGTTTTGAATCCAGGGATTTTGCAAGAGTTTGATCTTTTAGGTCGATTTCAGTAGAACCAGTTTTCGCGGACTTCCTCCTCGTGAGCTACCATACCGACTGCGTGCAAAGTTTGTGGAGAGTTCAGTAAGCTAGCCGTTGATAAGCAGATTGATTGAAATTCCTCTGAGCGAAACCAGATGACTAATCCGTTTTCACGGACTGCCTCCCTTCCTGAACTACGATGGCGACGGAGAATTAAGAGTGTTTATGGAGAGTTACGAGACGTTCAAAGTAAGCTGGCCTTTGATAAGCAGATTGATTAAAATTACTCTTTAGCGAAGCCAGGGTGAAGCATTTCTTCTGAACGCTCGACGCTGCTGATGACAGTTAGGTTATATTTCAAGGTAAATTCTCCAAAATATTTAATTAGATGACGTGTTCCTTATTAGTCGAGAATAGATTAAAAGTGATCGAACTTATTAGATCGCTATAATATGTTTTAAGACGCTTTGAATGATGACGTGTATGTTAATTTATGTTTTTTCTCAACTTCAACATAATCGATCTCCTAGTTTAATTTTGAAACAATGGTACCATTTTAGCCTTGAGACTTTACCGTGCGAAAATGTGTTTAGCCTTTCTTATCCTCGCGTGAACAAGGTGAAATTATGGAACGGTCCGGTGTGAACGAAGTGTCGGGTCAAATATTTCAGCCGGTCGAAAATTTGTCCCGTGCCGTGTAAACTTAGTCACGGCCAAACTTTTTTACCGTTTTTTGGTAGCCTGCAAGCAGACTCACTTGTGCGAATTCAGAGAAAATTTATTTTGGCGGCGGAGCCGCCATCCAGCTTAACCAATTAGATCGCTGCGTTCCTCAGCGAACGCGTGGTATTTGAAAATAAATAGCTCACGTGCAGGCTCACTTTTCCTCGGACTATTAAGCCGCCAAAAATGTTTTCCCGAACTCGCACAAGTAATCTTGCTCGCAGGTTATTTTCTCGGTGGGCCCGCTTATAGGCCGAACGAAAGATGGTACTCCTACAATGCAGAAACCCGCCAAAAGGCAGTTTTATTGCAAAACGGTGTTGATCTTCGTCCCAAAAAATGAATAAAAAACATGATGTGAATGACAGTGTTTTTCAATTAGTTTCTCTTTAGTATAACGCCACTTATGATAATGGTTTGAACAATTATAGGCGCCAGTACGTGCTGTCCTGAAAACCTGATGTCTAATTTCTGAATTAGATAACAGGAAGTTTTTTTTTAAAAATAACTTCAACTTTGTCATGGAAGATATTGTTCATTGTGGATAATGTGTATGAGGGGTTTCGTTTATCGTTTGTCTCGCGATTGTCACCTATATATTGTTCCGGCGCGACGTTTCGTTTCAACTTTATCATCAGAAAACGTATCCACATACATACATATATATATGTCCTTTATTTAAACACGATTGGCGGTGGTGTAAAAATAATTACAAATGAATGAAACTATATATTAAAAATAAGAATAACATTACTTACAAAATACAGCTACAATAAAAACTCTAAAAATACACAGTAAGATTCTAAAAAAAAATACAATGTTAAAATGAATTTACATTTATTTAGTTACCTCTGAGTAAATGGACTACAGCATGTGAGACTTGGGGTGGCTGAATCAAATAGTTTTTAGGGTATAGTTAGCTTTTTTTTTTTCTCGTCAATCTTTAAACCCAACGCATTTGTATTATTGTTATTACAGACCTTAAGGTCGAAGTTGGCCATCGCTTGCCCATATTTGGGACTTTTCGATCATATAAATTAAGACTAAAGGCACTTGAATAAAGAATTTTTCAGCGTTCTTAGCATTAACGAAACTTCCATGTCGGCCTTTAGCCCATTTTTGAACTCGGGAAGCCCTAGCAATAATATCCTGTTTGAGACAATTGAAAGGTGCATTAATTTGAAGGGTGTTGAGTTCATTTTTTTGGGTGTAATTTTGAGGGTAGACTGTTTTTGTTTTGTTTTGTGTGTTTGTTTTTCTTTGTGTGTAGAAATTGATGTTTCATCAAATTTCGCTGACGAGCTTCTCTGAGCCTGTCTTAATCACTTCTAACGCGCCTACGACCACGGGGATTATTTCTGTCTTCATCTGCCACATTCTGGTGATTTCTATGGTTCCTGTGAAGTATACTTTTCGTGAATAATTTTTTAACAACGTTCTAGTTACTTTTTAATGACGATAAACTGAGGGCTTTGGATTCATTCATAAAAACTCGCTGCCCCAAAATGAACAGAATTACATTGTAGAAGAATTCAAGCTGTTCGCTTTTATGTTACGTTTTCTTTAATCCGATGTCAAAGTTGTTTTGTTTGCAGTCCAGCTGAGCTCAGCTGCAATGTTCTGAAACTTTCCTCAGTTGTGCTTTGAAACTGCATTTCGTAATAAGCCAATGATAGTGTGTCGGATGTGTTTTACCTTCCAACAGTAGATCAGTGGGTTAAGCGATGAATTCACAAACACTAGCGTCAGGCCAAAATTTAACAGTAAATGCGTTTTAACATTGTTTGATCTAGAGGTAACTACATAAACTAACACGACAGTCATTGGCAAATAACAAACCATCAATAGGAGACAGACGTGAGCTGCCATGATCGCAAACTTCCTCAGCCTTTTCGTGTTAATAATTTGTCCGGTCTGTGATGCTTGTTGTAGTTGTAGCACTTGTCGTTCGTTTAAGTGACGTCGCACGGACAAATAGATTCTGACACTGAAGAAAGTCGCAGCTATAATACAGGCAGATTCACTAATGCCAAAAACCGCGTACATTATATTCCATGGAATCAACAGCCTCACCAATGGAAAAACTGCACTGACTGCCCAAACTAAGACAACTACAGCAACAACACGCTTGTGTGTTACAAGGGTTTGGTATCGGAAATAAAAATGAATTGCCATGAATCTGTCTGCACAGAGAACAGTGACGATAAAGAAAGTAGCGAAACAAAATAAATGCGTTGGGATAAGACAAGTTGTGTAGATAGCATTTTGAGGCTCCGTACTAATTTCGTTGTTGTCCTTCGAGTCGATGATAAGTTTTGCAACGTACAACGGTTGAGCTACTATTCCAACGCCAAGATCAGAAACAGCCAGACTAAGGAGCAATGTTTTTAAGTTCTTTGACAATGAAGGAGTTTTTCTTATGGCGTGGATTGTAACAACATTTAGCATGGTGGCGGTGTAAGATGAAAATACGTTTAAAAAGCAAAGTATGAGGTGCAAGGAATCCATTTGTTGTTCCTTTTGGTTTTGTTTTGAATCCAGGGATTTTGCAAGAGTTTGATCTTTTAGGTCGATTTCAGTAGAACCAGTTTTCGCGGACTTCCTCCTCGTGAGCTACCATACCGACTGCGTGCAAAGTTTGTGGAGAGTTCAGTAAGCTAGCCGTTGATAAGCAGATTGATTGAAATTCCTCTGAGCGAAACCAGATGACTAATCCGTTTTCACGGACTGCCTCCCTTCCTGAACTACGATGGCGACGGAGAATTAAGAGTGTTTATGGAGAGTTACGAGACGTTCAAAGTAAGCTGGCCTTTGATAAGCAGATTGATTAAAATTACTCTTTAGCGAAGCCAGGGTGAAGCATTTCTTCTGAACGCTCGACGCTGCTGATGACAGTTAGGTTATATTTCAAGGTAAATTCTCCAAAATATTTAATTAGATGACGTGTTCCTTATTAGTCGAGAATAGATTAAAAGTGATCGAACTTATTAGATCGCTATAATATGTTTTAAGACGCTTTGAATGATGACGTGTATGTTAATTTATGTTTTTTCTCAACTTCAACATAATCGATCTCCTAGTTTAATTTTGAAACAATGGTACCATTTTAGCCTTGAGACTTTACCGTGCGAAAATGTGTTTAGCCTTTCTTATCCTCGCGTGAACAAGGTGAAATTATGGAACGGTCCGGTGTGAACGAAGTGTCGGGTCAAATATTTCAGCCGGTCGAAAATTTGTCCCGTGCCGTGTAAACTTAGTCACGGCCAAACTTTTTTACCGTTTTTTGGTAGCCTGCAAGCAGACTCACTTGTGCGAATTCAGAGAAAATTTATTTTGGCGGCGGAGCCGCCATCCAGCTTAACCAATTAGATCGCTGCGTTCCTCAGCGAACGCGTGGTATTTGAAAATAAATAGCTCACGTGCAGGCTCACTTTTCCTCGGACTATTAAGCCGCCAAAAATGTTTTCCCGAACTCGCACAAGTAATCTTGCTCGCAGGTTATTTTCTCGGTGGGCCCGCTTATAGGCCGAACGAAAGATGGTACTCCTACAATGCAGAAACCCGCCAAAAGGCAGTTTTATTGCAAAACGGTGTTGATCTTCGTCCCAAAAAATGAATAAAAAACATGATGTGAATGACAGTGTTTTTCAATTAGTTTCTCTTTAGTATAACGCCACTTATGATAATGGTTTGAACAATTATAGGCGCCAGTACGTGCTGTCCTGAAAACCTGATGTCTAATTTCTGAATTAGATAACAGGAAGTTTTTTTTTAAAAATAACTTCAACTTTGTCATGGAAGATATTGTTCATTGTGGATAATGTGTATGAGGGGTTTCGTTTATCGTTTGTCTCGCGATTGTCACCTATATATTGTTCCGGCGCGACGTTTCGTTTCAACTTTATCATCAGAAAACGTATCCACATACATACATATATATATGTCCTTTATTTAAACACGATTGGCGGTGGTGTAAAAATAATTACAAATGAATGAAACTATATATTAAAAATAAGAATAACATTACTTACAAAATACAGCTACAATAAAAACTCTAAAAATACACAGTAAGATTCTAAAAAAAAATACAATGTTAAAATGAATTTACATTTATTTAGTTACCTCTGAGTAAATGGACTACAGCATGTGAGACTTGGGGTGGCTGAATCAAATAGTTTTTAGGGTATAGTTAGCTTTTTTTTTTTCTCGTCAATCTTTAAACCCAACGCATTTGTATTATTGTTATTACAGACCTTAAGGTCGAAGTTGGCCATCGCTTGCCCATATTTGGGACTTTTCGATCATATAAATTAAGACTAAAGGCACTTGAATAAAGAATTTTTCAGCGTTCTTAGCATTAACGAAACTTCCATGTCGGCCTTTAGCCCATTTTTGAACTCGGGAAGCCCTAGCAATAATATCCTGTTTGAGACAATTGAAAGGTGCATTAATTTGAAGGGTGTTGAGTTCATTTTTTTGGGTGTAATTTTGAGGGTAGACTGTTTTTGTTTTGTTTTGTGTGTTTGTTTTTCTTTGTGTGTGTGTGTGTTGCGGATTGTAAAAGAACTCATGCTTAAAAATTAGAACTTGCTAAAAAAAATTGCTGAAGTAAAAGTTTATCAAAAGAAATTATGGCTCTTGCTTTTACACAATGAAAGGGTGACACGAAGAGGATACGTAAGCAGAGCCGTTTTTTTTTTTTTTGGCCGATACCAGCATCGCTGCGACGAGTGCTAAGCGCGCTAAGAAACGAAGCCTCGTCTTACTGAAAAAGAAAATCTAACGATTTTTGTTTGTTTGTTTTTTCTTTAAATAAAACCGTGCATGATCATATTTTTTGATAATTATTAAGTAACGGATGGAAGTATTGATTACGCTATGGAGAGTCTACCATCTTGAAATAATCTGGGAAAATTTACAGCACACTGAATTTAGCGGACAAGTAGCTTTGTCTAGTCATATACTCTGGAGGTAGTCCTTCAGTCATTTTCTTCGTAACTTGATAAACTTAAAAATGCAGTTTCCCAACGGTGACTGCTTGAGACAGGTATGACTTCCAAGGTGTTCTGAATTGTGCCGGCGAAAGTTTCGTTAGGTGTGTCTTGAAAATACATCTCGTAGTTTGCCTGTGACAGTCTTTCGTATCTGTTTCAGCTTCCAACAGTAGATCAGTGGGTTAAGGGTCGAATTAAGAAATATCAGGGTTAGAGTATACAGCCTTAAATGCTGTAGATCGTTCCTTGGTTCGGAAATGGTAGCGATAGTTATTAACACACAAATATTAGGTAAATAGCAAACTATGAAAACCAGATACACGTGAAGCGATGCCATCGCAGATGTCTTGTTTCTTTGAATACTTTCGACTTGGTGATTTTGCGCTTCTTGCGGGATTTGAATTTGGGTCATGTGGCGTCTTAGAGTTTGTTTAAGTTTGACGCTTAGGGAAGTTGCAGTTATAATACAAGAAAAATTTCTGATTGCATAACATACGAACATGATATTTGTTGGAATCCAAAAGCTGAGCAATGTAGTAAGCACGCTGAATACCCAAATTGAGGTCACGGCAATAGTAACACGCTTGTGTGTCACAAGTTCCTGATATCTGAGGTGAAGGTAAATTGCCAAAAATCTGTCTACACAGAGAGCCGTGACACTAAACAATGACGCAGAAATGAAGATATGAGTCGAGGTACCAAATGCTATATATATGGCATTATAAGGTTTATTCATGGTTTCATTGTTTTGTTTTGAGTTTATAATATATGCAGCAAACATTGGCTGAGCTAGTAAACCAACACCAAGATCAGAAACAGCCAGGCTCAGTAGCAATGTTTTAAAATTTTTTGACAAGGACGAAGTTTTCATGATCGCGTAGATTGTTACAATGTTCAAAATTGCTGCGGTGTAAGACAAGTTCGCGTTTAAGATGCAAAGTGTGAGATACGACCAATCCATTTGTTGTTCTTTAAGGATTTCTGGTGCTTGAAGTAGACCAAGGTCTTATCGTTGCTTGCAATCGTTTGATATTTCAGGATGTCAGTAGAATCTACCACGACACGGATTGACGAACGCTTAGAGAGTTTCAAGACGTTTAATTCCGTTAATAAGACTTTCACTTGATAAGCAGTTAACTGAACCAAAACGAAACATTTTTCTCTGAACTCACGACAACTGATGATCGAGTATTGCTGCGTGGCAAAACAGATGTTTTACTTACTTGTTTTTAAGACGCTTTGAATAATTGTTATACATATTTTTCATTAACTTCAAAACAATTAGAAAACAGGCGTTTTTGTTTCAAATTGAACTTAAAATTACTCACCGCCTGATGTTTCAAACTATTGTCGTGAGGCGGCGTTGTCGCATCCTAGAGTGTCCAACATAAATTTTGTCCTAACAACATCGGCATATCAACAAGAGTAAAGGTTATGAGAATTACTAAATTAATGACCAAAGGGAGAATTACTTTGATCTTAAACCAAATTCTCTCAACTATTCTTAAAAGAAATGTATGGAGATCGGTCTGGAGAATTTGGATTTGGATCTTGGGGCTTAAAGGGTTAAGAGAACACGTCAATCTTCGTTTCTGTTCCATTTCTCTTTACTAATAGTTCGCAAACGAAAAACGCTGACAAAAGAACACGCGTAATTTATGCAGTACGAATTGGAATTCACTGTCTTCTCATAGGTCACTTTTTGATGTGTGAGTTTTTTCCCTCCGGATTCATCGTGGCGTCATTGTTTACATTTTTGCTTATTAGCATAGAAGTTAACCCATGGAAGATGGAGCCAATCAGAAACGGCGAAATATTTCTGCACTTTGCCGAATAGCTTTTCGTGCTGACATGAAAAGCTATCCAGTTCAGTATGAACAGCAAAGGCACTGAGCTGAAAAGAGTCGTTCACACACATCGGACTTCATACCGGAACGGTTGGTCGAGAGGATCTGGTGAACTAAATCTCAATCCTCACTTCTGAATATTTCCCTCCGTGTCAGTGGATTCCAGTCCTCGCTCCTAGTCATTTACTTCCGCTACGGTCAGAATACCAGTTCACACGGATCAATTTAGGTTTTCGGGGAAACTGCCCACCTACCCCTCCCCTAACCCATCATTTTGCCCTAAGTGAGAAGTAAGTGTTAATGTTGACTTAGGGGAGGGGTAGGTGGGCAGTTTCCTAGAAACCTAAATTTATTCCATCACACTGCGATGAAGAGTGGCGGAAACGAATCCGATCGGTGACGAATCACTCACAAGATCAGCGCGGCGCAGCGTCGCTCCATTACAGAAATCTCTCCATAATCACTGTTCTTATTTGTGAACAGAAGCTTTATCTGTTGAAGTTTTCGTGTCGGAGTAAGTGCTATCCGGTTTGAACTTTGCCTAAAGCAGTAAAGGTGTATTTCCACGGAAGAGTAATTTTCACGTGCGTAAGCACGCAAATTTTACGCGCGTAAATAAAATAGAGGCAATGTATGGAAGATCAAGCGCAAACATAACTAAGTTGAACCTCGCTTAACTTTTTCACCTTTAGTGGTGCTTTGAAAATTTCAATGCATTTCGTAGTATGCCAATGACATTGTGTCGAACGTGTTTCATCTTCCAGCAGTATATCAGTGGATTAAGCGATGAATGCAGAAGCTCTAGCGTTAGAGTATAGTGTTGAACATGATTTATACCAGTGTTTGATCCGCTTAAGGCAGTAACAAATAAAGTGAAACCATTTGGCAGATAGCAAACCAGCAAAACCAGGCAAACGTAAACTGCCATGATGGCAAACTTACGCATCCTTTTAATGTTAGCCATTTCACCGTTCTGCGATACTTGTTGTAGCTGCAGCACTTGAATTTGGTTCACGTGGTGTCGCATGGACAAATAAATTCGGACACTGAAAAAAATGGCAGCTATAATGCAAGCAGAACCAGTAATTCCGTAAACCATGTACGTAATATTTTTGGGAATCCAACGCCTCATTGATGAGAGAACTCCGCTAAGGAACCAAATTGAGACGACAACAGCGACAACGCGTTTGTGTGTCACAAGTTCATGGTAACTAAGGTAAAAATGAACGGACGCGAATCTCTCGGCGCACAGAACAACAATGAGAAACAACGTAGCGATAGTAAATAAATTGGTCGGAATAAGGTACGCGATGTAGATAACATTATAAGAACTGTTAGTTCCACTGTTTAGCTTCGACTCCATGATAAGACGTGCAGCATACATTGGCTGAGCCAGTAGTCCGACACCAAGATCAGAAACGGCCTGACTCAAGAGCAATGCTTTTAAATTTTTTGACAAAGACGGACTCTTTCTGATCGCGTGGATTGTAACAATGTTTAGCATGGTGGAGGTGTAAGATAAAAATGCGTTTAAAAGGCTCAGTGTGAGGTACGAGGAATCCATTTGTTACCCTTTCTTGAATTTGTCGTAAAGCAAGATATTACAGTAGAATAAGTTATTGTGGACTGTCCCCAACGGTCAATAAGCTAACCTTTGATTAGGAGGATAACTTTGACCAAGATTTCTCTTTTACAGAGTAGAGACAAAAAGTTTCCTTTTAACAGGCGGCTTGTTCTTTGTGTATCAAAAGAGATGTCTTCCTTGTTGTCACTTGAACAGGTTGTAAAATTGTTTTGAATTTTGGCTTCTATATTTAAGCTTTAAAGCAATTAGAAAACAGGGGTTTTGTTTAACAAATTAAACTCAGTTCAACGTAATCATCGGAAAACCAACTTGTCCATCATTTTTTTTCCACCTTTGACAGTAAGTCATAATTAAAGTTTTTATATATGTATTTATATTTGTAGTTTTACCACTGTCGGCGTTATATGTTATCATATATTTTACACTGTATCCCGAAATGCGGAGAAGAGGCGAAATCTTATCTGTCCTCCGTATTCTCTGATGTAAACTTAAATTCATTAAAATATTTAGCAATGTGGCGTGCTGCTTATTATTTGAACTTAAACTAAGGCTGTTGGATCAACTATATTTAGAAAAGTTACCTTATTAAATTTTTCCTCGTCATTCTTTTAACCCAACTACATGGATGAACATGTTAGTATATTTTACTTGGTCTCACTTGTTGTAAAGACGCTCTGTACGATTTCTTTTTGTGTTTTATGTGTAATTTTCAAAGCAGTCAGAAAACAGCAAGTTTGGTTTCCAAAAAAAAATTAATCAAATCACCGGTAACCTTGTCCAAACATTTTTCCGTTGCATGCAGCCGCTTTATCGCATCCGCCGGACGAGGGAAATGTTGAGAGAACACATGCAAGGCTATGTTCCTGCTCTGTTTCTGTTGCAAAATACTCTAAAATGGTAATTCTCGATGTAGATAACCCGTCCAACAATTTTAGTGCATAGCGGTGTTGATCTCAGTCATAAAATCTTGAATGAATAAGTTAAGTATAGCGTTTTTTTTATTAAATTCGCTATTTCTTGACTGCATTTAATATTATGCCCCCTAATGCGCTGATACTGGAAAGCTAGTGACGTGCGGTTTTTGGCGTTGCAGTAGCGACTTCTAATTGATAATTTACAATTCCCAAGATAAGGGTTAAAAATAGTTCTTGTTTCTTAGACAGTCATGAAATCTGTGATATTTTTCATAACTAGATAATATTTTGAAGGTGAAAAGAGACGAAATAGTTTTAGAGGCAAGACACATCACACTGAAACTCTCTTAAATTTTGTGTAGTTAGTGTAACTTGAAAATGCCGTCATTTCCCGAAGGAAGAACTGCTTGACGCCGGTTTGTACTTGATAAGGTGTTCCAAATCCTCCCAAAGGTTTCGTTAAATGTGATTTGACAATATATTTCGCAGTGTGGCTATCACAGTGTGCCGAATTTGTTTCACTTTCCAGCAGTAGATTAGTGGATTAAGGGTTGAATTAAGAAACAACAGGGTCAGAGTATAAAAGTGCAAATGCTGTAGATCGTTCCTTGGTTCGGAAGTGGAACCGATGATAATTAACACACAAACATTAGGTAAATAGCAAACTGTGAGAACCAAATACACGTAAAGCGATGCCATCGCAGATCTCCTTTTTCTTTGAACACTTTCGCCTTGCTCATTCTACGCAACTTGCGTGAGTTGAATTTGATTCATGTGGCGTCGTAGAGTAAGGTAAAGTTTGATGCTCAGGAAAGTTGCAGTTATAATAGAAGAAGAATCTTTAATAACAAAAAATACGAACATGATATTTTTTGGGATCCATAACTTGAGCAATGAAGTAAGTGTGCTAAATAACCAAATTGAGATTACGGCAATAATAACGAGCCTGTAAATCACAAGTTCCTGGTATCTAAAGTGAAGTTGAATTGCCAAAAATCTCTCTGCACATAGAGCCATGACACTAAACAATGACGCAGTAATAAAGATATTCATCGGGATAAGATTGGCGATATAAATGGCATTATAAGATTCATTGCTTTATTTCCACTGCATAGTGAGTTGTGCAACACACATGGGCTGCGCCAGTAAACCAATACCAAGATCAGAAACTGCTAAACTCAGAAGCAATGTTTTTAAATTCTTTGCCAAGGACGGAGTCTTTCTTATCGCGTAGATTGTCAGAATATTGAGTATAGAGGCGATGGAAGATAGAAAAGCATTTACGACGCAAATTGTTAGATACGAGGACTCCATTTTGCATATTGACCTCTGGAATCAAGCCTTAAATTAGAGCTGAAGTCCAGCTCAGCGGTGGTAATCTTAATGCAGAAACCCAGTCTATGGTAGAATCAATTTTGCAGTCCTCAGTGGCTGCTATTTTCTTTGTTATGGCTTGCAAAAAGCCGAAAATTACACATAAATTTAACAAGCTCATTGGCCTTGACGAAAACACGCCTATTCCTTTTAGTAAAGACTAAAGCAGTTGAATCAGGGGCAGTGAGTATAGTTAGCGTTTAAAATGTTCTGCCACAGCATTGATCTTTTCGTTTTGTACCGCATCAAATAACAACGGAGGTTTGAAAACTACTTCTTTTCTTTGTTGCTGAGCTGAGATTGGTTGGGAACTAGTGTTACACCAATAATTGCAGCCCACTCTTGTCACCCGCAATCCTACTTTCCAGGCTCCTTTTACGCTGATAGGGCGAAGGAAAGCAAGTTTCTTACCGAGTTTGGTTCTCCACAGCATTATTCCTGGTAGATGCAGTAAATGAGATGTATCTATGGCATGGCTGGTGGCCGAATGATGAAGATTCAGAATCCAGAGCTTCCACAACTGGTTCTGCGGAAACGCGTTGGAGTAATGACCGAAGATTGGCAATGGAAACGATAAAGTCTTACGCTCAAGGTACTGTTTTATTCTTCCCCGCCACCATCAACGCGTCGCCCCCTCCCCAACCCGCTTAAGGTACTATTTCCTCTCCCACACACGGGTCTGGGAATTTAAATCTCTCTAGAACTAGTTTGGAAACAACTTACGTCTGAGCCCTCCCATTCTTTCTGCAAACCTTGCGTTCGTTGATTTCGCCTCGGTCAACATTTCATTCCAACTCTCTATACCTGGGTCTCCGAGGGTAAGGAAGTACAGTTAAACCCCCAATAAGCGGCTGCCCTCGGGGTACTGGCAAGTGGCTGCTTAATAGGTTCTGCTTAATAGAGCTGCTCAATAGAGGTTCTTCATGTAAATTAGCATAATCGTGAGTAGAAACATTCCTTTATTTGGAAACTAACACGCGACTGAAGCAGCGTTTTTGCTCCGCACCTTTTTTCTCGGACTGTATTTTCCCTCATTATATTTTTAAAATAAAGCCAAAGTACGTGTATCAAGCGCTTGCTGGCCGCTTAATTGATGTGACGATTACAATTATTTCGGGACTTTGATTACTGTCCGCTTATAAGTGGCCGCTCAGGTGAGGTTCGACTTTATATACTTGGGTACTAAACTTGTTTTTTTATGTTTGTGTGTTTGTTTGTTTTAGGCAAAAGACCTCGAATTTCTAGTTTTCCCTACATTAACCATGAAGTCATTTTTTGTTATCAGAACTTGAACACGATTTCTCCCAAGTATTTATTGTGTTTGCTGGTCTGGAACCAAAGTCCTTCCAGAATCTTTTCCCCTTCTGGGAAGACCGACCAGATGTAGCTAAAATAAACCTATCGGTAAGTACTTCTTCTATTACATTTATTTAGTGTTTAATGTGAAATTTACCCCTTCCAGACTCAATTATTTGCCAATAAAAGCCTATTTTAATAGATACAGCAATTTAAGAAACAATTTCAAGGACCTCTAGGCTGTTTTCACACATCCTATAAGTAAGAAGCGTACCAGCTCGAAGATGTACATCATAGGTTTTTTATGCGGCTGTTTATGAATTACAATATGACTTTCCTTCTTGATCCTTCTTTCAAACCATTCAGGGGAACATTTTGTACAAGGCTTTTGTGTGCTGGTTTTCTCTGAAAATTAGCCCAGGTTCAAAAACGTTTGACTGTGAACTCTTTCTGTTTTGTTGCTTTTAGACTGGAAGGGTTGATGGAGATATTCTAAAGCTGGAAACGGAACTTGCAAAACTTTCGAGGTTTGTCTTTTTGCATTTGGTCCCGGTGGTGGTGTGAATACATTTATTCCTTCAATTAATTATAAATTTATTAATTTATCTCTCAGTTTATTTATTTATTTATTTATTTATTTATTTATTCATTTATTGTAAATTAAACTATTAAAGCATTTATTCCATTTTTACGGCGTGCATAAACTAGGGAGAACCGTGTTTCTTTTATCAGAGAGAAAAATTTCTAATTTTGTTGATCGACTGTTTTAACATTTACTCTTTACATCAACTCTTCGTTTTTTGACATGTAGAAAAGAGTACAGCTTGGAGGAACTCAAGCAAAAACCACCACCTGAAGGAGTGGATCCCTCGAGACTTGAAACATACCTTAGCGAAGCTGACTTCGAGGTACGAACTGTATTTCTCTTTGAACTGCCTCTTCAGTCTCTGCAACATGACTGCTGGCAAATAAAACAGGCCTTTTAAAAAAGGGGTTTATGAATTATTCATTAAAAAGCCCCTGAAAAAATATCCGACACCACTACTGGTTTAGACTGCGAGTGGTCCCCATTTGGCCTTTCGCCTTTCGCCTTTCTCGTGTGGGTTGATTTTCACGCGCGCTCGCGTTTCTTCGCTCTACTCCTCTCCCTGAGGGAAAATCGGGACTACTCGTATTCTACTGCTGGTTTCCCTGCGTAGAGTCGACTAAGGAAAGAGCGCAGAAATTCCATACTGATAGCGATTTAGCTAGTGCTTCTGATTGGTTGAAGCAAGTCGCCCTTTTGGTACGACCAATCAGAACTGAAGTACTACCCAGATCGTGGCAGTGACATGTCATCAGCTGGGAATTTCTGCCCTCGCTCCTCAGGGGAAACCAGTAGTGGCGTCGCTAAGTGTCCGCTGTCTTCTCAGGCTTATGAATTAAAAGTTTTTTTGGTTTGTCCCTTTCGCAGAAAGCGTTTAACATGACCAGAACCGCTTTTGATGCTCTGGCAATGTGGAAGAAGACGAATCTTAGGAAGAAAGCTGGCCTTTTCTAATGTATTGCCATAAGATGCCAGACATGTTACTACAAAATTTAATTAGAGATAGCTATGTTTTTTAAACGACGATACACTCCCTTCCTTCATTGTTTTCGTACAAGGATGTTGGTTTCCATTTAAAGCTTGACTTAAAACATCCTTTTTCAAAATTCGATGTTAATCGACTTTTTTGAAAAAAAAAAATGCGTAGTTAAGAAGATGTTGAATTGCAAAACCATAGCTTTTGCAGTGTTAATTTCCCAATAAGCTCTGTGGTCTGTGATCAGTAGGTGGTTAATCCACCAGAAAGGTTTTGTCCTACGGGACAAAATGGAAAGAATTGTCGAGTTGATCTGGTGGGTTGGTTATTGAATGTGTTCGAATTACTGTCTTAAAGACACGGTTTTCCTCCAAAAGCAAGAAAGTAGAGCTAATAACGAGAAATAAGGGATTTGCCGCAAAATGGAAATTTTAACTTTTTCTCATTACAAAATACTCTAATATGGCGACCTTTTCGGCTTGCTCACAAGTCACGTGTTCTCCTCGTGGAGTGGTTACCAGTACTCCACGATAGAAATAGCTCAGGCAATAAAGGTGGAAACAACATGCAACAGATAGAAAGCTCGGTAGCCATGGTGACAAAACCAATAGAATGAGAGGAATTTGCAGCTTGTGATAAGCTATTTTCCTACTTCGTTTGACAAGGAGAGTTGGCTTAATCAGTTCGATAAGCTTAAACAAAACTTGAAAAAACAATTGGAGAGAAAAAAGGGGGAAAATGTCAACCAATGTAATGTGCTTACATAGCAAAAGTGACAATGATGGCTAAGCTATGGCGCTGTTATCGAGTTTCTTATTTTAAATTACCCGATAAGGTTCACAGTAAACTAGGTGAATTCATGTATTTTTCTAAAACCGAAATTAAATTTTGTAACAGTAATAATTATTTTAATTGGTAATGCGTATCTTGTAACAAAAGTCATTGTAGAGCTTTCAACTGAGAGGTGTTGAATCTATTGTTGTTTCTGACCTAGAATTTGAGGGCCTCAAGATTTGCAAAAATTAGCTTTAATGATTTCTGTGAGAGATGAAAACAGTTAAATTCTTCCGAATTCTCCCATTTTTCTCGCGTCTTATGTCTGAATGAATGCTTTTAAGCCTCTTTTGGGAGTTAAACCAGTTGGTCCCCAGACCTCTCGCTCCTCTTGCTGGCAAGTGGGACATAGACTGTCGCATAGTATTCTCTGGTAGTACCGCTGACCAAACGCATGCAATACTGTATTCTAATTCTAGAAAAATTAATTAGACACGTGATAATTGAAGGCGTACATTATATTGCCTTATTGGATATAACGTGGGAAGGCGTTTGAATTTACACTTCGGTACGTCGTACAAGATGTGGTTTGAATGAAGCGAGAGTAAAGAAATCTAGCCAAAGTTGTTTTGCTGTAAGGAATGTTTTGATTATCATGAAGTTCAATAAAGAAGAAACTTTCAATACTCATCTACGTTACGGTTGTAACGTAAATAGTGCAGTAATACGGACTGTTTTATAGTTAATGAATTGGCATTTAACTAGGAAAATAATCTCGCTAAGAAATGGTTTAAAAAATGCACAAAGCTTGTGATGCTGATAGTCAAATAAAATTGAAAACTGACAAGTGGAAGATGTTTGGTTTTCTCAAACGCTTACTGTATTTATTAGCTTCATCTACCATGACATTTTATGGGGCGGGCGTGATCTACGTGCAAAGTTGTTGTTATGCCAATCTAAACCCATTGGTGTCTTGTCGTTCTTGTTGCCGTCGCCGTCGTTGTTACTTACGCTCTCGTTTGTTTCACCCGACCGAGCAAATTGTCGACGGAGCATGCGCATTGCTGTCTTCTTGCAGATGTCCTTCTTGTTTTTCAAGCAATTTTTACAATTTGAATATAGGTGTTCCTAAACTTCAGAACAATTAGGAAAGGGGAAGTTTTGTTTAACAAATTAAACTTCATCTTCATAACAGGCAAACTTGTCCAACAATTTTCCCACCTCTAACAGTTAAGTCATAATTAAACAAAAAAAATGTTTTTTTTTGTAGTTGTTTTAATGTTTTTGTTTTCATCTATCGAACGCATCCTCAAGGTATTGTAAAACTACATTGACTCTCTTCTGCTCCACCTTAACCTTGGCAAATTCTGGTTTAGCCTGCGATGAGCCGGTCCTTCTTCCCTTTTCGTTTGGGAGGCGTCCGCCGACTTTCTCCCAAAAAAGATCGCCTGATAGCAGATTCTTTCTTGTTCGAATCGAGACCACCGTCTTTTTGAAGCCTTTAAGTAGAAATGTAAAATCATAACTGATTCAATTTCGGGGAAATCAAAGGTTTCGTGTACCTTTTCGTGTACCAGTTTTATTCCCTTCACCCGCGGAGCCAAGTACGAATTTTAATAATTCGAAACTGACCCACTTTCTCTCTTTTGTTTGTGTTTTTGAGTCTAAAGTTCCCCGTAAAGCATTTTTAGAAGCCACCAAATAAAAAATTGAAGTTCTGCTCGTGCAGACACTTAGTCACTGAGTCGTATAGTCGTGATCGAGGGAAACAAAATGGTCCAATTGTTACTATATTTAGTTTGATCACTATTATGTTGGTTTTTAAGTGTAGGAAAGAAGTTGTAAAGCTTTCGTTATCTCGAGGATGTTTTCATCGGGTGTTTTCATCTTCTCGCTGGCTTTGATAAGAGCGTGCGTTTGATTCTGCTTTAATTTCGTCTCCTTATTTCCTTTTCTTTTTGTCCTATTTATCTGTAGGGGTGGGTGAGGAGGTAAAGCACAATGCTTCATACTTTTAACGGAGTTTTGACAACTTTCGTGTTTCATTACATTGCATAAATTATTCCTCCGAGACAACTTGTTTTTTAAATCATTGATTCTAACGAGAACTACAACAATCTCTAAAGTTCATTTTTATTGTTATTCTATTGTATCTTTTTTTGATTGTAAGTTTAACATAACACGATTTAACATTTGTTATTGTTTCTTGTTGTTGTTGTTGTTGTTGTTGTCGTTTTTTCATATCTTTTATTATTTCCAGATGGATTGTTTTGAAGCTCTTTAGTTTTGCTTTGCAAATGTATTTCGTATAAAGCCAATGATCGTGTGTCGGATGTGTTTCATCTTCCAGCAGTAGATCACAGGATTAAGCGACGAATTAAGGAAGACCAGTGTCACAGTGTAAACCAGTAAATGCTTTATGCCAGTGCTTGGTCTTGAAGTGAAGGCAATAGCAAAGAGTGTACAAATGTTTGGCAGATAGCAAACCGTTAAGACGAGGCAAACGTAAACTGACATCATCGCAAACTTTCGCATCCTTCGAGCGTTAACCATTTGAGCGTTCTGTGGTGCATGTTGTAGCTGCAGGACTTGTATTTGGTTCACGTGAAGTCGCACGGACGAGTAAATTCTGATACTGAAGAAAGTGGCAGCTATAATACAGGCAACCTCTGAAATTCCAAAAACCACGTACATAATACTCTTTGGGATCCACAGCCTCGTCAACGAAAACAGTCCGCTTAATACCCAAGTTGAGACAACAAGAGCGACAACTCGCTTGTGTGTCACAAGTTCTTGATATCTAAGGTAATAATGAATGGCTATAAATCTCTCTGCACACAGAACAATGACGAGAAACAGCGTAGCGAAACCAAATAAATTCGCAGAGATAAGGAACGCGATATAGATGGTACATGATACGTTTTGCTTGTTTCAATGTTTAGCTGTGACTCCATGATAAGACATGCCACATACAAAGGTTGCGCCACTAAACCAACACCAAGATCAGAAACAGCCAGACTAAGGAGCAATGTTTTTGAATTCTTTGACAAGGACGGAGTTTTTCTTATGGCGTGGATTGTAACAATATTTAGCACGGTGGCGGTGTAGGATAAAAATGCATTTAAAAGGCAACCTACGAGATGCAAGGTATCCATTTGTTGTTTTTTGGATTTGTGCTGAAGCCAGTTAAATTCCTATCATGATCAGATGATGCAAGAGTTTGATCTTTTATGAATTCAGTAGAATCAGTTTCGTGGACTTCCTCTACCAGAGTTTCGAAGCAGATTGACTTATTTTTAGTACCTCACGACTTTCAATAGGGTAGCATTTGATAAGCAGTTTGACTAAATTCCTCTTTATTTGTGTGCTGGTTTTCTCTGAAAATTAGCCCAGGTTCAAAAACGTTTGACTGTGAACTCTTTCTGTTTTGTTGCTTTTAGACTGGAAGGGTTGATGGAGATATTCTAAAGCTGGAAACGGAACTTGCAAAACTTTCGAGGTTTGTCTTTTTGCATTTGGTCCCGGTGGTGGTGTGAATACATTTATTCCTTCAATTAATTATAAATTTATTAATTTATCTCTCAGTTTATTTATTTATTTATTTATTTATTTATTTATTCATTTATTGTAAATTAAACTATTAAAGCATTTATTCCATTTTTACGGCGTGCATAAACTAGGGAGAACCGTGTTTCTTTTATCAGAGAGAAAAATTTCTAATTTTGTTGATCGACTGTTTTAACATTTACTCTTTACATCAACTCTTCGTTTTTTGACATGTAGAAAAGAGTACAGCTTGGAGGAACTCAAGCAAAAACCACCACCTGAAGGAGTGGATCCCTCGAGACTTGAAACATACCTTAGCGAAGCTGACTTCGAGGTACGAACTGTATTTCTCTTTGAACTGCCTCTTCAGTCTCTGCAACATGACTGCTGGCAAATAAAACAGGCCTTTTAAAAAAGGGGTTTATGAATTATTCATTAAAAAGCCCCTGAAAAAATATCCGACACCACTACTGGTTTAGACTGCGAGTGGTCCCCATTTGGCCTTTCGCCTTTCGCCTTTCTCGTGTGGGTTGATTTTCACGCGCGCTCGCGTTTCTTCGCTCTACTCCTCTCCCTGAGGGAAAATCGGGACTACTCGTATTCTACTGCTGGTTTCCCTGCGTAGAGTCGACTAAGGAAAGAGCGCAGAAATTCCATACTGATAGCGATTTAGCTAGTGCTTCTGATTGGTTGAAGCAAGTCGCCCTTTTGGTACGACCAATCAGAACTGAAGTACTACCCAGATCGTGGCAGTGACATGTCATCAGCTGGGAATTTCTGCCCTCGCTCCTCAGGGGAAACCAGTAGTGGCGTCGCTAAGTGTCCGCTGTCTTCTCAGGCTTATGAATTAAAAGTTTTTTTGGTTTGTCCCTTTCGCAGAAAGCGTTTAACATGACCAGAACCGCTTTTGATGCTCTGGCAATGTGGAAGAAGACGAATCTTAGGAAGAAAGCTGGCCTTTTCTAATGTATTGCCATAAGATGCCAGACATGTTACTACAAAATTTAATTAGAGATAGCTATGTTTTTTAAACGACGATACACTCCCTTCCTTCATTGTTTTCGTACAAGGATGTTGGTTTCCATTTAAAGCTTGACTTAAAACATCCTTTTTCAAAATTCGATGTTAATCGACTTTTTTGAAAAAAAAAAATGCGTAGTTAAGAAGATGTTGAATTGCAAAACCATAGCTTTTGCAGTGTTAATTTCCCAATAAGCTCTGTGGTCTGTGATCAGTAGGTGGTTAATCCACCAGAAAGGTTTTGTCCTACGGGACAAAATGGAAAGAATTGTCGAGTTGATCTGGTGGGTTGGTTATTGAATGTGTTCGAATTACTGTCTTAAAGACACGGTTTTCCTCCAAAAGCAAGAAAGTAGAGCTAATAACGAGAAATAAGGGATTTGCCGCAAAATGGAAATTTTAACTTTTTCTCATTACAAAATACTCTAATATGGCGACCTTTTCGGCTTGCTCACAAGTCACGTGTTCTCCTCGTGGAGTGGTTACCAGTACTCCACGATAGAAATAGCTCAGGCAATAAAGGTGGAAACAACATGCAACAGATAGAAAGCTCGGTAGCCATGGTGACAAAACCAATAGAATGAGAGGAATTTGCAGCTTGTGATAAGCTATTTTCCTACTTCGTTTGACAAGGAGAGTTGGCTTAATCAGTTCGATAAGCTTAAACAAAACTTGAAAAAACAATTGGAGAGAAAAAAGGGGGAAAATGTCAACCAATGTAATGTGCTTACATAGCAAAAGTGACAATGATGGCTAAGCTATGGCGCTGTTATCGAGTTTCTTATTTTAAATTACCCGATAAGGTTCACAGTAAACTAGGTGAATTCATGTATTTTTCTAAAACCGAAATTAAATTTTGTAACAGTAATAATTATTTTAATTGGTAATGCGTATCTTGTAACAAAAGTCATTGTAGAGCTTTCAACTGAGAGGTGTTGAATCTATTGTTGTTTCTGACCTAGAATTTGAGGGCCTCAAGATTTGCAAAAATTAGCTTTAATGATTTCTGTGAGAGATGAAAACAGTTAAATTCTTCCGAATTCTCCCATTTTTCTCGCGTCTTATGTCTGAATGAATGCTTTTAAGCCTCTTTTGGGAGTTAAACCAGTTGGTCCCCAGACCTCTCGCTCCTCTTGCTGGCAAGTGGGACATAGACTGTCGCATAGTATTCTCTGGTAGTACCGCTGACCAAACGCATGCAATACTGTATTCTAATTCTAGAAAAATTAATTAGACACGTGATAATTGAAGGCGTACATTATATTGCCTTATTGGATATAACGTGGGAAGGCGTTTGAATTTACACTTCGGTACGTCGTACAAGATGTGGTTTGAATGAAGCGAGAGTAAAGAAATCTAGCCAAAGTTGTTTTGCTGTAAGG